TCTATAAAATGCATTGCTGTTCTGTTGTAAGTGATCTTAAAGATTCCTAAATGCATCTACTTTCGGAAGGCCAAATAAAGTGCTTTTGCTTTCACCTAGAAACACACAGCGTCTCCCTGACATGCTGCTTCAACACTAACTGCGGTTACTTCTTTCTTTGCGTGAACATTTAGGCGGCATTACACAAATATTTCCACATAGTGAGGTAGACATGTGGGGGCGTGTTAGAACGAGCCATTTTAGGGGGGCGTGGCAGAGTCTTAACTTTGATAAAGAATATCTCTTTGGTTTTGAGACTTTAGTCTTTGCAACTTCAGGGATCTTATCTATGCACAATCAGCTTGTAACACTCCAAAGAGAAAGGAAAACTTGAAATCGCATCATATGACCCCTTTAAATATAAAAAAAAAATTCTTAGTGCAAAGATGTCTCATAATAGGATTCAGTGTAATATAATCTTTTGATTTGGGGGTGAAATGAGACTCTCTTTGTATTACTTTGTGAGATTCACCTGTAGAGCCTCCAACAAAATACAAAGAAGCACCATAAAAGAAGTTAATCTTGTGCTGTATTTCATGTCTTCTAGCTTCACTTCGAGTGAAATAGTTTTTAATACTGTTCAAAGAAAGTTAAAGAGTTACTCTTTGGTTTTGTTCCACAGAGAATGCTTTCTGCTTTTGTTGATGCTTTATGCGTTGGATTGTTTTGCTTGGCTTGGAGCAGAAGCGTGTGGTTTTAGAGCCGTCACTTGGGCCAAAGTGAAGCGCTGATATCGGCACACTCCTCCTCCATCTGTCCACGACTATGAGAAGTGGGAAAGATCCACTGCGGCCACAGACCAGACATTAATTACAGCAATTAAGACGTCTATAAAACAAGATGTGGGGAGTCTTATCTGCAAAGAGCCATTTTATATCACATACTGGTTTAATAGCAGCTGCCGAATGTCTCATGAGATTTAAAGTCAACGAGAAATTGGACTGTTTACTTTCTTAATGCACATTTCAGAACCACGATTCATCATGCATGCTATTCCAAAGAAAAAATCTCACATTATAGAAGTATAATGGTTAAACCTTTTGGTTAATGGTGGTAAATTTAGCTCCTGTTTCTAGGTTTCTGTGCTCATGGCTGAAATGAGACATTTTGACATTGTCCAGCTGTCTGATCCCGGGTCAGATCTGTAACGGAACATGGCTGTAAGCTGATGTGATTCGGTACATTACATGTGTTATTGGCAGGGTCATAGAGGAGGAACATCCTACAGCTCCAGCGCTCCTCAGTATCTTTCATTCATTTTATTTCCATTTCTTCTTGTCTTCTCTATCGTCTGTTCACATGCTCATGTTCATTCTCCCTGCAGAGAAGCGGACGGATAAGTCGATGGTTTCGGGGGCCATCAGGCTGAAGATCAGCGTTGAGATGAAGGGAGAAGAGAAGGTGGCTCCTCCTCATGGGCAGTACACATGTTTACACGAGGTACGTCTGACATCAGCAGCTCAAATACACTGCAGACATCGCATTCTTAATCAGAATTTTGTCTTGCTTTAAATATACAAATATCAACAAGTCTCACTAAATATTGTTAGATTTTTGATTGCAACAACAACCACTGGGTCAGAAAAAAAATAATAAAATAAAATAAAATTGAAATGTAAAATAAATATTTCTGTACATTTATTTTATTTTAAGAATGTTAAAATATTTTTTACTGTAAAACAAGACCAAATGTAATAAAAAATTAAAAATGAAATATAAAAAAAAGCGAAAATAATTGGACTCTGAGTTTAGATATTTTGTCTAATTTAAGTGCCTCAAAATGCCTCATTTTTATATTTAATAAAAGTGAAATTTAGGTTTAGTCATGCTGTTACGTATATCATATTATTGCATTAATTGTTATGAATTGTTATATTATATTATATTTAATAAAATATATTTTATATTCAGAAAAGTGATAATTAAATATAGTCATGTCATTACATATATCAATGCATTAATGCATATATTATATTATATTTAGTAAAATGTATTTTTTATTTAATGAAAGTGATATTTAGATTTAGTCATGCCATGACATACATCATATTGCATTAATTGTTATGAATTGTTATATTATATTATATTTAATAAAATATATTTTATATTCAGAAAAGTGATAATTAAATATAGTCATGTCATTACATATATCAATGCATTAATGCATATATTATATTATATTTAGTAAAATGTATTTTTTATTTAATGAAAGTGATATTTAGATTTAGTCATGCCATGACATACATCATATTGCATTAATTGTTATGAATTGTTATTTTATATTATATTATATTTAATAAAATGTATTTTATATTTAATGAAAGTGATATTTATATATAGTCATGTTATTGCATATATATTATATTACTGGATCTTGGTGCCACATTAGCAACAATAGTTCATTTCTGTGAAACGTCAATACGGCCACCATATCGGAAAGTTAAGGATCTGCCAAAACTCAGCACATATTTGTGTTGCATTATGAATTGTGTTTCAGGATCCACTGACGTGTGAAATCGATCATGTGTGGCTGGAAGGGTTTGTGTTAGTCTGGCCCACGTCTCGCTGGTTCTGTACCACCGTCGGCTGCGTAGTGTTGTGGCATTTTTGTCGGTGTGATGACAGTAGGTTGGCGCCCCGAAATGTTGACCTTTCCAAGCTGGCTGTGCTGTTGATGTTCCTCGACATCCATTCCATATCAGTGCTGTTACAGTTCATGCACTCGAAATGCCCTGCACGCTTCCTGGCCCCTAAACGGCTTCCCACTTCTGTTGATTTCTGTGCAGAATCTCTTCCACTACCTGACGGAGTTGAAGAACAACGGAGTCGTGAAGATCCCGGGGGTCAAAGGTGACGATGCCTGGAAGGTTTACTTCGACGACGTGTCGCAGGAGATCGTGGATGAGTTTGCCATGCGCTTCGGTGTGGAGTCCATCTACCAGGCCATGACGTGAGTTTCTGATGTTTCATTTGCTTTTTAATAGAGATTGGGAGTCAGTCATTGAACAGAAAGCAGCCGATGGCACACATACACCCTGCGTTCGCTTATTTAACGTCCTGCTGTTGTTAAAAGACGAGGCTTGGCGTATTTCACGACTGAGGCTGATTGTGCTTCAGCAGGAATTTATGAAAGCCTTGTTTTGTGTCGATGAGTCTGTCGATGACTTACGGTCATACATGCACATGATGGCTTTATAAATCACACTGTTTACTAGAAATGCTCAGGCTCCCAATGAAAACCTCTCAGCCTCAGCACACACTCTCTCTTTCTCTCTGTTGGCTGTTTGGAGCTGTAATTGATTTGGGCCCCTGCTCTGAGGGCCTTTGCCCTCATAATTGCATCTGGAGTTTATGTCCTCTTTCTGTCGCTCTCATTCTCATTTCTATCAGGTGATCTTTCTATCTTTAGTGAACTATTGCATTGCTGTGTAAGAGACGAGAAAATCATGTATGAAACACTGCAGGCTTTGTCATAATTGTGTGCAGGTACACTACCATTCAATGTTTGGGGTTAGTACGATTTTTTTTACATTTTTTGAAAGAAGTCTCACTGAGGCTGCATTTATTTGATCAAAAATACATAAAAAACTGTAAAATATTATTACAATTTAAAACAGCTGTTTTCTATGTGAATATCTGTTAAAATGTAATTTATTCCTGTGATCAAAGCTGTATTTTCAGCATCATTACTCCAGTCTTCAGTGTCACATGATCTTCAGAAATCATTCTAATATGCTGATTTGCTGCTCAAGAAACATTTCTGATTATTATCAATGCTGAAAACAGTTGTGCTGCCGAATATTTTTGTGTAAACTGAGATACATTTTATTTTTCAGGATCTTTTGATGAAGAGAAAGTTCAAAAGAGCAGCATTTATTTGATATAGAAATATTTTGTAACATTATGAACTTCTTTACTGTCAATTTTTATATATTTAATGGATCTTTGCTTTCATTTCTAAAAAAAAAAAATCTTACAGAATCCAAACTTTTGATTATTTATTTACCTCTCATGTTCAGTCCACAGTTTGATATGGGCTGCATTTTACAGGTCATGTGACCTCACAAAAAGGACAGATTTGAGCAGAAAATAAAAATGGATCTCTTTGGCTGTTGTAAGTAGCCTTAAAGTGTATCAGCTTTGACTGTTATTCCCCTCATGTATCAGCAGAGCCTCTAAACGCTGTCTGCTCGGGTTTAGATGATTGTAATGCATAAAGTAGCTCTAACTTGACATTGTAATTTCATATTGCATACAAACAATATAACTTCACCCTGCTTTGCACACTTTAAACAGACTAAAGCAGGGGCGAGAATTTACTTTTTCGCCACTGCTGCCAACTGTGGGTGAATTCAGATAAATTACTGGCTGTAAAAATGCATTATTTTTTCATTATTCTTTCATTGAAAATATATTTTCAGCACTCATAACCATGAGATCATTTAGATGAGATCCTTTAGCTGTTGTTCACGTCTTAATGCCATTGCATCATAAGATGAGGTCGTAATTGCACTTTCTGTAAAAATGCACCTGACATGTGAGAACACTTGATTTTCTTCCTCATGTTTTTGTTTTGTTGGCTTAATGTGAGGAATATTGCACATATACGTTCTGGAAAAACTAACTTTCGAAGGGTAAAAAAACTTTTGGCATCCTACAGTTTCCATTGCACATCATGACAGAATTTCTTTAGTAGACAGTATATATTTACTTTACTTTCGTTACAGATTAGCTTATTAACAGTTCCGTGTAATATTGCAGTTTCTAAGAAAGTTTCTGGCTGACTGGCAAAGACATTTTGGCACTTGGTGAGATCCTGCGTCTGAATATTTATTGTTGTTCCAGAGAGATGTCAGGGTTGATCTCTGACTCTTAAAGCATCCTCTGATTTGTTTTTCTGTTTTAGGATAATGGATATTGATTCATTCAATAAATGATAGTCTTCCAGCAATGAGCGTTTGGTACTGACCCGCTGAATCAGACTTATTTATACACTCTATACGGAAATCCCACAGCACCAGTGATCCATACAGATCAAGTGTTCTGCTGTGATTATGTATGAGAAATTGTAATGAACCTACTAAAGTTGATGCAAACGGTTTTTGCATGTGCATCTGTTGCATATGCATGTGATCACATCTTTAAATCTGCTGGACGATGTGTGGAAATGATCCTCCTTCCTGAAGCTTCCAGTGGATGCTCACGTTTGTACTCATGACCTTTTCCCTGTCCTGTAATCATAAACAGAGTCATGTGACCCGTCGCTAATGTTATTAGAGATGCAGCCTGTATTTTGTACCATTCAGCATTTTTTATTGCTGAAGGGGGGATAATGATTTCAGGGTGAAATCTTCAGTCATCAGCAGCATGTTGGTTCACAGGTTTACAGAACATGAATCACAAATGAGCTCCAGCCTGTTGAGAGCTTCCTGGAAGGAGATGAAGATTAAAGATGAGTCTTCATTTCCTTTAAGAAAATCATTTTATTTTATTTTATTTAAATTATTATTATATTATAATAAATACAAATTATATATATATTACATAAGTATCATTTATTACAACAAAACTTTATGTATTTTAATTTATTTGATTTTAAAATTAAATTTTATTTTCAAATGATATGGTTAAATTTATGATATATCACTTATTACAGCAAGCTTTGTTTATTTATTTATTTTAAAGTAATTTATTATGTATATAACTTTAAAATAAATTATGTAATTTATTATTATGTATTTATTATGTAAGTATCATTTATTACAACAGAACTCTGTTCTGAATTTGTTCCTTGTCTTTAGGAATGTGAATCATAAGGTTCAGATTCTGATTTACTCTTAATGATTCTGGTGCCTTAACCATTATATTATTCTTTTAGTACTTTTGAGAAGAAGAATTAGTCAAAAATACAAAACAAAAATAATAATGACTTCGACTAAATCTAGTTTGTTGTTGCATGCAACCAGTGGATGTGACACAATTGAGTGCTTTTTCATTATTTTGTCTTTTTCTTTTATTGCATTCGATTCCAACTGTAAACTGATAAAATATCATTTCTTGTGCTCTGTCACTGTAGATTTATAAGCTTCCCAGACGCTCAACAATCACCGTTTTCAACCATACTGAAAACACAGATCCTGTGAATTTCCCAGTGATCTCAGGAGAGTAACTCATTACCAGATGATATCACAGATATTGATGTTGCGTGGGAATTTAAGACCTGTTTTGGAGGGAGGTGTGCACAGAGGTTAAAGAGGACATCAGATAGAGAGAGAAGACGAGTCAATACTTGCTGGCAAGTTTTATTTCTCTGATTTACAGCGGAGCTCTGCGGATCACTGGAGCAGCAAGACGAGGATTTTAAAAATGAGGAAAGAGCGAATGGTTATAGGCTGAATGGAAAGCAAGCTGTTTCCAGGCAACAGCAAGTCAACACCCTCCATCAGATATCATTTATCCTGATTTAGCCATCAGCATCTTTCAATCATGTCTGAAACGGGAGGAGGGAATATGGAGAGAAGAATGATAACTCTTCACCTTTACTTGGAGGCACAATAAGTCTTCATTCCCCTGTGTGTCATGATGGCCCGTTTGGGCTCAGAGGTCACGCTATCAGAACTAATGAGGTCCAAATCAATGTCTGCATGTACTAATGTACGGTCTCACTTCATTACGGCCTACAGTTTCTGCTCACAGACTTACTAGGAGTTTCAATTAGTAGCAAAAATTCAAGGAAAGTGAATGAGGAGGCTGTCAAAGTGTGGTTTCAGTCTGTGGGTTGGTTTATGTGGGCGTGGCTGTGATAAGTAGATTTGTTTAAGTGGGTGTGGCTTCGAACTGTGTGTTTGCTTAAGTGGGCGTGGCTTCAAACTGTGGGTTGGCTTACGGTGGTGGGGCTTACATAATCACACCAGAACACTTGATCTGTATGGATCACTGGTGCTGTGTGATTTCTGTATAGAGTGTGTAAAAAAAAGTCTACAGCTAATCATTGAGGTTAGTTCCCCTGATTCAGTGGGTCAGTACCGAACGCTCATTGCTGGAGGTTGGTTTAAGTGGGTGTGGCTTCAAACTGTTGGGTGCTTAAGTGGGCGTGGCTTTAGTCAGTGGCTTGGTTTAAGTGGGTGTGGCTTCAAACTGTGGTTTGCTTAAGTGGGTGAGGCTTTAATCAGTGGGTTGTTTTTAAGTGGGTGTGGCTTCAAACCGTGGGTTGGCTTAAGTGGGTGTAGCTTCAGTCAGTGGCTTGGTTTAAGTGGGCATGGCTTCAATCAGTTGATTGTTTAAGTGGGTGTGGCTTCAATCATTGGGAATTATAGTGGTCTGTCACCAATAAACAACGCTATTTTAGTATTGTTCATATACTTTTATAGTTTTTATTTTGAAATAGCTTTTTGTGTATTTTATGTCATCTTTCATTTTAATTTTATCTTAAGTTGTTTTTTATGTACTTCTATCTCTTTTTTTTTTACCAAATATTTGATATTGCTTTAATTTATTTTTATTTTAGTTTTAGTAATTGTAGTACTTATTTCAGCTAGTTGCTTTTCTTTCTTTTTTTTTTTAAAGTTTTTCAAATAATATTTATTTTTTATTTTATTTCAGCTTTATTTCAGCTACCAAAACCTTTTTCAGCATTTTTTCATTTATATATATATATATATTGGTATATATACTTTTATATACAAATGGTTTTGTGGTCTGTGTGCTGCTTAACATCCAGTTGAATCATTTGTCATTAGAGTCATTTGACAGTAATTCATTCCAGAATTTTTTATTTTTTTTGCTGCTTTATTTAGCCAATGTAAATTATTTATATTCATAACAAAAGGAGAAAGAGAAAAATCTGTTTATATGGACCATTTGTTTATGTGTAACGTAAAAAAAACAAATAGCACTGTATTATATGTAAGTGTGTGTGCAGTATACATGTGAGATGCTGTATTTCACTGTGTGTGTGTGTGTGTGTGTGTGTGTGTAAGCCCCTTTGGCCTGCTGCTATTTTTAGTCTATGTCTCTCTTCTTTCTTCTCCTAACTCTTTTTCTCTCTCATATCTTTCTTTAATGAATCTCCTCTTAACAGTGGCTGACATTACTGGCCAACTTCCTGCATTGCCCTGCGGCTTGGCACACGACAGATCTGTGTTGCACTGTCTGTTAATTTTGACAATATAAGATGGATCGTGCAGCTCATTTCATATGTGCATATCTCAAATAATTGTTTACTTGTGTGACACGTCCATAGTTATTCCATATGATAAGGATGCTACAATGCCCTGGTAAAATGTTCAAAAAATTTAATTTTCAGTTTGTGCTTTGCAAAGTCATGTTCCTTATCAGTATTTTCAGTTATAATATTTCTGCGCAGTACAAAATCTGTCTATGGGGCATTTAGGAAATGTATTCGGTTTCTATTCTCTTTTTGTTGTTGTTTTAATATTGTTTAAGGGAAGTAAAATTACAGGAATCTGATATGAAATATACATTGTTATGGGTGTTCAACCACACATCAGTGTGTTTATGACTGAATCTAACATCTGTTTCTCTCTCTCTTTCAGGCATTTTTCGTGTCTCTCGTCCAAGTACATGTGTCCCGGTGTTCCCGCGGTGATGAGTAACCTGCTTGCCAACATCAATGCCTACTTCGCTCACACAACAACGGCAAACACTAACATCTCGGCCTCCGACCGATTCGCAGCATCCAACTTTGGGGTTTGTCAGTCTCACTGCTGATGGATGGATGGATGGATGGATGGATGGATGGATGGATGGATGGATAGATAGATAGATAGATAGATAGATAGATAGATAGATAGATAGATAGATAGATAGATAGATGGATAGATGGATAGATGGATAGAAAAGAAAGATGGAAAGGTTGATTGATGAATAGATAAATGGATAGACGGACAGATATACAGATGGATTGATTGAGAGATGGATAGATAAATGTGTAGACAACGAAATAAACAGATGGTCGATGCATTGACTGATTGATAAATAGATAGCTGGATGGACAGATGTATGCTTTCATGAAACCATAGATGATTTTTTGATTAGATGGACTGATTATTGAATGAATGGATGCATGGATGGCTGATTGCATGAATGATAAGAGGCATTTATTATTAAATGAATTGATGAAAGCATTGAAGAACAAGCTGATGGATGAATGAACAGAATGATGAATGCATGATTGAAGGATGAATGGATGATATGTAGATGATTTCATTTCATTTACTGATCTGTTTTTGTGACTTTGTTTCTTTTGTAGAGAGAGAAGTTCGTCAAACTCTTGGATCAGCTTCACAACTCTCTGAGGATCGACCTCTCCAAGTATCGGGTGAGTTAAAGCAGCAGAACGGCACAGCACATGTATGATCCGCCGCTCCAGATGGATTTTCTCTTTCAGAGATATCAGAAAGAAAAACACTCATCTATTATTCATCGCCATAGAGATAATTTAACCTCTCCATCACTTTTAGTGATCCCCTACCTTAATTTACAATGACATTCAAATGCTTTACGAGCTCTTCACAGAACAGAAGGTCCATTTATTCACACGATTTGAGAAAGATTGTTCTCGACTCGCACTGCCCTTTTTGCTTTTATACTAATTGCAATCTTTGTCTAAATGCGTAACGAGAGAAACACCTCTCCGTCAGACAGAAGTTTCTTCTGGAAGGACGCTTTAGACAGATCGTGTATGACTCTCTCGAAGACATGTGGTCTGTCTATATCACAGAGTGAGAGCTGTAAAGCATTGACAGGGTGCTCACACACACTCACACACACACACACACACACACACACACACACACACACACTCGACTGGCAGGCATCCAGTAAATTCAGTGGCTGTTACCTGCTCCTTTCCAGCCGTCAGCTTCCAGGCAACACGTCCTGACAGTAATACACTCCGGATCTGCTGAGCTCTGTGGATTTGACTGTAATGAAATTCTGAAGCAAAGTGAGTTTGGTTTCTCATACAGCTCGTGTGGATTTGGCCAAGGCAGGTTTTGTTCTTCCAGGGCACTTTAACGCCTCTGCTTTATTAGATACATTTCCACCACTTGCGGCTGTGTTGTCTGTGTTCAATAAACCTCAGGCAGATTCATCTCCTCACCACTTGTACAGGATTATACGTTTCTCCAGACGCCTTGAAATCACACAGAACTTCGGAAAACACTAGACGCTTTCTGCTCAATCTGGCCCCGTTCCACATGCTTTCAAAACAACAACTCTATCATAGCCAAAAATTGATTGCACAGAACTGCCTAAACTTGAAGTGCAACAGTTTTTTTTGTCCATCTGTCTGAAATCAAACAAGTTTATTTACAAATATCATACACTACCATCCAAAAATGTTGAGGTCTTTAAGATTTTTAAAGTTTTAGAAGTCTCTTCTGCTTAACAAGGCTGCATTTATTTGCTCAAAAATACAGTAAAAAATACTGAATATTTGAATATATAGTAAAATGTATTTTTTTCTGTGATGCAAACCTGAATTTTCAGTATCAATACTCAATAGTGTCACACGATCCTTCAGAAATAATTTTAATTTTAGTTAAGGTTTTTATTTTATTTTTTTATTTTATTTTTTTCATGCAATAACTAAAAAAAACAATAATAATGTTTTAAATTTTAGTTTCAGTTTTAGTTGACTATAACAACCCTGGTAGACAACACAGTAAATCTTGTGTAGATCTTTAGATGTTCTGAAGGTTCCTCATCTAAACTCTCTCCTGTGAATCCAACTCACAGTTTAATGATCTCTTACCTGAGCAATCTGTTACCGGCTAAATACTTTTTTGCCCCACTGTATATATATATATATATATATGTTTTAATTGATCTTGTTTTAAGGATGTTATTAAAGGAAAACAAGACCAAAATCCAGGACTCGGGGAGGTACAAACCCAAAAATACTGTGTGAAGTGACCTGCGGCAGCAGAGGGAGGGATGTGGAATCAAAGCGAGTGTGAAAACAGCCTAAATTGATTTGCACGAGTCTCTGTTTTTGGTGGCTGTTGTTGACAAACAGCTCCAGCACTCCATTACTCGCTCTGAATAATTAGAGAGCTGCGGTGAAACACCAGCCAAGAATTACAGCAGCGTCTGTAAATCTGGCATCGATAAAAGTGCCGTAAGCGTCTCTCAGACTGCAGGAGTCTCTCCTCACTTTTACAAAACTATTACATAACCATCCCGACACAAAACTCAGTGACACTTTCTAACCTGTTTCTCCGAGCGCATCTTTTGCACACATGCACACGTATGCAACATCCGCACATGCATGCTCTTCCTCTCATTCTCACACTGTAAATATACTGTGTACCTTCATGCTAGAACAAGCAGGCTGATAGCTTTACAGCCCAACAACACGTTATCTCTATCTGTTGCTGGTTTGGCTCGGGCTGCTAAATCATGATATATTTTGTCATTGGTGCTCATGACGATGGAACACGTTTCTGTTATTAATATTGCTGCATAGTGCATTCTACATAATGCTGCAGGGTGAATTATTTTGACTAATGGTGACATGTTTTTATCCATTCATCTCTGCCAAACCTCCTCAACCAGAGTAAAAGGCCATTTGAAATATTAGCAGGTGAAACACCCACCATATAGATGTTTCTTATAATATTTCAGAGGAAATTTCAGACTTCCTCAAATGCAAATTGATCTTATGTTGATTAAAAATATAATTGACTTGATAACACTTTACTTAAAGCCTTTACATATAATGCATTATAAAAGTAGTTTTAAAGTATTAATAATGCCATGTAATGCATCTTATAATGCAGTGTATGATCTCTTGAATAATTGTAATCAGTTATAATACATTATAATCATGCATTATATTAATGCACATTAATGTATTATTTTATTATAACAATACATATAAATACTTTTCTTCTGTGTGTATATATATATATATATGCACACAACTAATTTCAACTAATTTTCTAAAATCTTGTCTAGTTGATTCATGTATAACTTAAAAATATTAAGTTGAAATTGGTTAATTATATTGATGAGTTAAAGTCATGGAAAATCAGAAGTTGCCATAACTTATTGATTCAATATTTTTTAGACTTATTGATCTTTGTGTAATTTAGAAAGTACAAACTACATATTTTGTAGGTTATTCAAACTTTTTTCCTGTTATGCCAACATACAGGCCTATCTATTCCATCCTACTGAGCTAATGTGCGGTTTCCATCTGTCTCTTAAACATATATATTCATCAAATCCATAGACAACTCTATAATCTTAATCTAGTTATCTTCTTTGTCAGATCTGACATTAATTCTGTTTGCAGGATAACTTCCCTGCTGGAAATCCAGAGAGACTCCAAGACTTGAAATCAACCGTCGACCTGCTGACAAGCATCACCTTCTTCAGGATGAAGGTACGACACTTTCTCACACACACACACACACACACACACACACACACACACACACTTACATAGAGAGATAATTATGCAGGCTTTTACACTAGAATTAAAGCAGCGTGACTCAGCACTGTGACTCACACACAATAAAAACCCCTCATGCATTTCATGAAGGAGAATTCTTTCAAAATTAAAATATGAATGTTTTTTTTTTGTGTGTGACATTCATTGGCAGTCAAAACATCATAGTAGTTGTTATTCAGTGTGAAGGACATTCCTGGTTCCACAATAATTTCCTGCATTAAATAGTCAAGTATATTCAACAAAAATAAAAAAGAAAGAAAGAAAGAAAAAAAAGTCCTAATATAAAACTCCTTTGAAAGAAAATAATCCTCCTCCTGGAAAATAATTAATTCTTTAAAGGGGTCATATGATGCGATTTCAATTGTTCCTTTCTCTTTGGAGTGTTACAAGCTCTTGGTGAATAAAGAAGATCTGTAAAGTTGCAAAGACTAAAGTCTCAAATCCAAAGAGATATTCTTTATAAAATTTCAGTCAACCACGCCTACCTAAAACGGCTCGTTCTAACACGCCCCCACATGTGTGCATCACTATGTGGGAAGATTTGCATAACTATGCACTATGTCGGAAGATTTGCATAATTTGCCCAAATGTTCACGCAAATAAAGAAGGCGTAACTTTTATTCTCGCTGTAGTATTGTTGTTGCCGCCGCCATGACGTGAAGGCACTGTGTGCTTCGTTGTGAAAGCGAAACTACTTTGTTTGGTCTTCCAAAAGAGGACGATATCCGCTTC